ATCTTCTAGCAATTCCCCCGTAGAAAGACTCCATTCAACATTAACTGAAACTTACAGATTAATAGCCGAGAAAATTAAAGAAAAAAAGTTAGAAATGGATCATGACGACATCCTAACAGAAGTTCTTATAACCTATAATAACGCAATACATTCTTCTACTAAAATTACACCTTTCGAACTTTTCTATGGAAGAACCTATAAAATTAACCGTCAAATTACATTTAACAATGAACACGAATATCTTTCTAAAATTAATCAATTTCGAACACAACTCTACGAATCTATTAAGGAAAAATTGGAAACCGACACGGACAAACGCATAGAAAAACTTAATGCAGACAGACAAGATCCACTAGATTATGATGTAGATAACTATATATACAGGAAGGAATGTAGGAGAAACAAACTAACACCGAGATTTTTCTAGGCACAAAGTGAAACAAAACAACAAAGCAACATTACTTACTACAAAAACACGAAACTTCACAAATCAAAAATAAGAAAAAAACAATTTTCATAATCTTTTATTTCAGATTAATACCCATGATACACACACAAACACTGGAGATACACAATTTAAAAGACACCCAGGGATTATTACAAATAAAACTGGGAACTGCTAAAACAATAATTGACTATATCAACCTTATACATATAATAAAATTAGATTCATATAGTGATAATGTCATGAAAATTGAGGAATCTGTCAAACAATTTACTCCCACATATTACAACAGAGATTCCTTAAAGGTAACAAAATTTAAACTTAAAGACCTTAAGGATAAATTGAATTCAATAACTCCTAAATACCGCAGGAAAAGAGGATTATTTAATGGTATAGGTTCAGCAGTTAAATTTATCACAGGTAATATGGACGATAATGATGCTCTCCGTATTAACCAGGCTATATTTAATCTAACAAATAAATTACAAACTGAAACTAGTAAACAGAATATACTTAGTACTAGAATCATTGAAAGAATAGAAAATATCACAGACCACATAAATAAAGAACAAGATATAATAGTAGAGTCAATAAAGAATTCTCAAAATAGCATAAACTCCAACTCAAGACTTATAAATGATATGCAGTATTTAAATCAGATTAATTTCCACATTGATTTACTGACAAATCATATTAAAGATGTTTCTGAAGCGATGACATTGTCTAGCCTCGGAATTATACCCAAGATGATATTAAATACGCAAGAGTTAGAAGAAATAGGGAACAATTTAGAGAATCAGTCAATTAAAATTGATACAACAGAACATTTATATGAACTCTTACAATTACAGGCATTTTACAATGATACCAATATCGTTTTTAACATTCAAATTCCCCACATCCCATTAACCAATTACACAATTTCCCATACAATTCCTATACCAATTAATAAAACAAAAGAAATAGTTATAAAACCTTACACAATTTATAATAATAATAAAATTCAATATTTCGAAAATTTATGTAAGAAAATCGAAAACATATATTATTGTAAAGAAAGTTCACTACAAGAAACTATGGAAAATTCTTCATGCTTTGGAAAAATCATAAGTAATTTAGAAGCTAATTGTAATCTCAATAATATAGGCCAAATTACAGAAATATCACAACCTGAACAAGGACTTGTGTTAATAAAAAATTTACCGACCACAGAAATGAAAACATCATGTAACTCCGAAAAACATAATATTGAAAGCAACTTATTAATAAATTTTAAAAACTGTAATGTTATTATTAACGGAATTATCTACGAAGATAACCCAAACATATATTGGGACGATTTTATTGTAAAACTACCCACAGAAATAAACATAAAACCTTTGTCTACAATAGAAACTTTAAATATACCTAAACTCAAAGAGTACCATCTAGAAAATAAGTTAGCCATCGAAGAGTTATCAAACAATACAGAACTTCACAGACACATAAATTATGGAACTTTAATGTTAATAATTGGAATTGTAATTTTCACCTATATAATGAAACAGAAGACAAAATTAGTGGTAAATGAACTTCCCGCCAATACTGTTGTCGCTTCTGACCATCAATTCTTTTGGCCATCGCTCCATACTAAGGGGGGAGGAGTTACAGAAACAACATCAACAACAACAACATTAACACAAGCACCTACAAAGCCACCAAGGTTAAATCAAGCAAATAAATAATAAAAATTATTAAGAATTGCTAATAAGTCAATAACCGTATGAATTGCTACATATAAAATTAGTAAGAATTTTAAATAGTTCAACAGACCGAAAAAGAACTGTAAAATAAAGAATTGTTCAATAAAAGAATTGTTAAATAAGCATATATTTAAATTTCAAAGAATTGTAAACAGGCCACCAGCTATAGAATTACTAATAATTTTATAAATTGTCAAAATGCAGTTATTGCAATTTTCACTTTAAATAAGTTTATAATCGTAACTTTCATTTTAATTATTGTTTTCAATAAAGATGAGTAATTTTTGAGCAACCAACGAATAAACTTGTGTTTTTTTTAATACTCGGATTACTACAAGAATTAACTCGCGCATAACTCAAGAACGTCTTGACTGATATTGACACTTTGTCCCAATTGGAAAAGGAAAAACAAGAATAAAACCAAACAAAAAAAAAACGATGTTTGAGATGAAAATCAAACAATATTTGGTTGGCCCAACGACGAACCCTATATTCAATAGGGTAATCGGTGGTAATCGGATAAGATTAAGATATAGCTCCCATATATCTTTAACCGATTTCGGGTTATTTGTGTACCAAATGGTCAATATAAGTCCTAATGACCTGCATTTTGCTACATCCCACCGAATTCAGCGTAGAAGCAAGTAATCGGAGAAAATCTTCTCAGATGTTGCCATAGCTCTCATATATAGGTTTCATCCGATTTGGTGTTTAAGACTCCCACATTCGTAATAGGCACCCCACAAAAATTATGTTTGGTATCAGATATCTGACGTAGCCCAGAAATACCTCTGTCAAATGTATCAAGATCGGTTCAGATTTGGATATAGATCCCATATATATCCTCAACCGATTTCGGGGTAATTGTGCAACAAATGGTCAATATATGTCAAAAAGTCCTGAATTTTGGTACATCCGACCGAATTCAGTCTAAAAGCAAGTACATAGGCACCAAATGGCCTATATAAGTCCTAATGACCTGCATTTTGCTACATCCCACCGAATTCAGCGTAGAAACGGAGAAAATCGGCTCAGATGCTATAGCTCCCATATATGTGTTATGGGAGGCACCCCACAAAAATTATGATTGGTATCAGATATTAGACGCAGCCCAGAAATACTTCTGCCAAATGTATCAAAATCGGTTCAGTTGGATATAGCTCCCATATATATCTTCAACCGATTTCGGTCTAATTGTGCACCAAATGTCCACTATGAGTCCAAATGACCTGAATTTTTGACACATTCGACCGAATTCAAACGAGAGCTATTGCACCAAAATCGGTTCAGATATAGCTATAGCTCCCACACATATGTCTTCATCCGATTTTGTCTTTAAGTCCCTCATATTCGAATATCTTTGCCAAATTTTATAGAGATAGACTCAGATTTGGATATAGCTCCCACATATATCCTTAATCCCTTAGATATTTTAGGACATATTTGCATTAGTGTATTTTTGTGTTTATTTTTCTTCACCACCAATCATAAATTAAATCGCTTCTCTGATATACAAAAGTGGTTCCAAAAAGCATTAGTAAAGAACTACCTTGTATCTCTGCGTTTTGCCTTAAAATTATGCTGATGAAAAAAGTTACACAAATGCAAGCAAATGGCATCAGAATTAACTCAAAGAAACGGAATGAGATCAATGACTATGTAAGATATAAATTTGAAAAGAATTCTAACAAATTAGACCTCAAAGACTCCGAAGAAAATTTTACTAACGGAAAGAGTTGAACATTAAAAGCACTTCAGGTGTGATATTTTTAATGTTCTTTTTATTTACACAATGCCTTGCTAATTAAATCAACTTCCAATTTTATACAATAAGTTTCTATCTTTATTCAATTTTCTTTTCTATGTACTGGTATGAATTTCCAGCCATAAACGCATCCATGTAAAGAAACACCCTCATTCAGGCAAGAAAACCTTTGCTACTATGCGTTCCATCTCAAAGACATCGGTGATCCACTTTTGAATGTTGCCTTTTTCTGTAAAGGCCAACATTAGCACTTCAGCAAGTAGCACGAGTACGTGTACTTCACACATCGTGGCTTATTAGCCGCGAAGGGATCCTTGTCGGATATGGGTGAGTGTGTGTGTGCGCTTGTGGTAACCCAATAAACCATTTCATTAACCCATCTTAAATGAATACAAAAATAAACTTACAATAAGCCATTTTCTACAACCTGTTATAAGCATACTTATGATTGGTTTGTTAAAGTAGAAAATATGAATACTTTTATAACCGTGTGTTAAAACGGTTAAAATAGTAATTGTATTTGCAATAACACTTGCAAAACATTTGCTAGAATAATATATTTGCAAATGCGATTACAAATGACTTATGTTCGCAAGATTTATATAAGAATTTTCGAAATAACATTTTCAATCTGAGCTTCAAAAACGGTTAGCATTGCAACAATATTTGCAATAACACTTGCAATACACTTTGTCAGAATATTAATTTTGCAAATGTGATTGGAAAAGACTTATGCTCGCTATAATTTTACAAATGTCTTTGCCAAGCAGGGTTTTAAAAACGCGTAGCATTGTAACTGTTTGCAATAACATTTGTTATACATTTCGTGCGAACAACAATTTCGCAAATGTGTTTGCAAACGACTTATGCTTGCAACAGTTTTACAAATGTTTTGTAAATTGTATCCCGTTATTTTAACAGGAGTGTTTTGCAATATTCTGATTTACTTCATTCTCCGAGTTTTATTTGAAGAGTGAAGATTAAAAAGTGCCCAATAAAAAGTGAACGTAAAAATAAAAGTCAACTTAATTGAATAAAAATGAAAAAATGGATTTCGAAAAAAAATTGCAGGAAGACAAAAAGTTTTTGAATATGTTTGTAAGTAGCAAAGGAAAATTAACCGTAACCTAATAATATAATAAACTTCTTCTAAGGGAAAGGAGCTGTTAACGGTTGCCAAAACTCCAAATTTTACAAAAAACTGTTGGCGAAAGCTACTAGTAGACGAACTGGCGCAAAAGATGTGTTGGAAGGGGACAGAGGAGAAAAAAAGTGTACGCAGCCTCAGTTCAGCAAAAGCAATAAGAAGTAAGTAATTTACACGTGTTCTTAATTTACATATTTACTTGCTTTTCTAATTCTTTTCAAATATTATAGATGCAGCAATTTCTATTGGATTGAGCGAGGATGAATATATAAAAAGCACAAAATCTTTTTTCCAGTTCGCGAAAAATAGGCAAGAATCAAAACAAAAATATACTCCAAAGACAAAAAACAAAAATTAATTTTTTCTTATGTTAGTAATATACCTTATATTAATAATACACCTGATAAAAATGTACAAAATAAAAATTAAACTATAAAAAATAATAAAATTAAAAGGTTTATAAAACTATTACGAAGATAAGTTTAATTTATATATGATAAGAAAACTATTTTTCTTCAAGCATAGTTAATAATTAGACTTCTATGCTTGTTGCAAACAATAAACCAGCAATATTAAAGCAAGGGTTCAATTTGATTTATTCAGCAATTGTTTACAAGCCTTTCATAATAGTAATAACAAGCTTATTCTAAGATTAAAGTTACTAGCTTGTTTCATACTATTGACTAGTAATATTATCACAAGGGTTCAATTTTCATTATTCTATAATTATTAAATTGCCTTTCATAACAGTAATCATAACAGTTTTCTAAGCTTAAGACTTATGATAGTAAGTTTGTTACAAACTTATTTTAAAGCGTTTTGGTTTGTTGGGAAGTGCTTCAGTATTACCATCATTATCACCACTAGCAAACACCAGCATCAACAACAAGCACACTGTCTTTTACACCAAACATGCTAGGCTAGCGGCAGTAAACATAGCCCAAAATAAACTTCGAAGTACATTTCATATTTTATACAAGTATCTACAGCCCGTTTATGCGGTTGTAGTTTTATCACATGCCACACATCTAAATATTATGGTGATGCATAAAATATATATATATCTTTTAAATCCGGTTAATCTTGAGTAACAGAAGAAAACCGATGTTAGTGAATAATTAAAATGCTTAGATATTTCCTTATCAGCTGTTTGAAGTGTGCCGATATGGTCTAAATATTTTGTTCATTAATAAATATTGTGTTTCATTTTTATTGTCCGTGACACTTTATGATTTTTTACAGGTGGCGATAGCTGCATAAACAAATGGTTAAACACTTCGATATCTTAATACCTTAATTTTAGAAAATCATATAAATGTCGGTCCTGTTGTAAAGGGATGTTCTTCTCTTATTATCCCCTCCACCTTTGAAAGGAGGGTATATTAACTTTGTCATTCCGATTATAACATCCTTAAAAATTCGCCCACATTATTTGACGCCCACATTATTTGACGTAGAGCGCCAAAATTTAGCAGAGCAATTTGTATTGTGTCTAGGATGGTTGGTATTGAAAATCGGTCCACGTTCTGGTATAGTCCCCATATAACGGTGCCTCCCGATGTTCGGTATTTTGATGATTTATGTCACATTTTTTTCACGGATTTGTCTGAAAATTGGTATTTGTAGGTCATAACGGTTCCCTGTGCGTGTGGCAAATCATTGCCTGTATAGGTCCACGTTCTCGTACAGTCCCCATATAACGGTACCTCCCGATATTCGATATTTTGATGATTTATGTCACATTTTTTCACGGATTTGTCTAAAAATTGGTATTTGTTGGTCATAATGGGTTCCAGCTCCGGTGGCGAAACATTGCATGTATGGGTCCATGATTTGGTATAGACCCCATATAACGGTACCTCCTAATATTCGGTATTTTGATGATTTTTGACACAAATTTTTTCAAGAAATTTTCTGAAAATTGGTAGTTGTAGATCATAATGGGTCCCCGTTCGTGTGGCGAGTCATTGTAATTATAGGTACACGTTTTGGTATAGCCCCCATATAACGGTACCTTCCGATATTCGGTAATTTGATGATTTTTGCCACATTTTTTCACGGATTTGTCGGAAAATTGGTATTTGTAGGTCATAATGGGTTCTAGCTCCATTGGCGAAACATTGCATGTGTAGGTCCACGATTTTGTATAGCCCCCATATAACGGTACGTCCTGATATTCGGCGTTTCAATGGTTTTTGCCACATTTCTTCTTATGTTTCCTTTACCCTAAGGTGGAGGGTATTAAAAGTTTGGCCCGGCCGAACTTAATGTTTTTTACTTGTTTTTTAATTCCGAACATATTGTATACCTACAATTTTTATACCTTCCACCATAGTATAGAGGGTGTATTAAGTTTGTCATTCCGTTTGTAAGAAGCATGCATTTTAGACCCCACAACGTATATATATTTTTGGCCAGCATAAAATTCTATTTCAGCTTAGCGATGTCCGGAAGTCACTCTAGATTCCGAACGAAATATAGTACATTAATAAAAGTCTGCAGAACTTTTGGAATTGAAATTTGGATACATCGGTCTACGTTTTGGTATAGTCCCCACATAAGTGTACCGCCAGATTTAAGGTGTTTTAACGGTTTTAGCCATATTTTTGAACAGAATTTCGTGTTAATTGGCAGTTTGTGTTTCTTATATCTAAGAAATATCCTCGCAAATAGCTGTTCATAGAGATCCAAGTTTAGCGATATATCCCATATAACTGTACCTCTAGATATTCGGTATTTTGATGATTTTTCACCGGAATTATTTAAAATTTGGTATTTTGAGATCGTAAGGTGTGATCCAACATATGACAGAAAATTTCCTGTACAGGTCCACACCTTCAAATTACAGTAATTCCCAATATTCGGCATTTTGGTGGCGGTAGAAGTCAACTGTTTATCGTAGGCCCCATATTACTGTACCTCCACATATTCCTCATTTTAATGATTTGTGTTTAATGATTTTGTTTGGTATTTCGATTTTGTAATGGGTACTGCCTCAAATGATTACTTTACAGGTTCACATTTTTGTATAGCTCACATATAACAGTATCTCCCTGTATTTAGTATTTCGACACACCTTTCACCAGAATTATTTCAAATTCGGCATTGGAGTTCGCAGTGGGCACTGCTTCCTATGAAAGAAAATTGTCCATACAAATTAACGTCTGCGTGTAACCTTCATATAACCATACCTCACAATATTCGGTATTTTGACGATTTTAGCTGAATTTTTCACTGAATTATCTTAAACTTGGTATTTGGAGTTAGTAATAGGTACCTCCTTCTCTTGCAGATGATTTGCTGTAGAGCACCATATTTTATAGCGGCATTTTCAATGGTTTTTTTTACATTTTGCAAGTTGCTTTCAAATAGTGGAGTGTACGGCCGAACTTAGCTAATTATATCCTCCACCATACTGTGATCAGGGTAATATATCTTTGTTAATTTCTTTGTAACACAGAGAAGGAAACAAAATAGACCCATAGTTGCTTTTGACGATCTGCATAATCACATTCGGAGTAAATGTATGCATGTCCGTCCGTCTGTCGGTTCGTCTGTCTCTCTGTCCATGTATTTTTGTAAACAAAGTACAAGTCACATTTATTGTCCGATCGAGATGATATTTTGCACAAATCATTTGTTTGGCCCAAGGAAACTATTGAAATTGGAGACCATCGATCAAAATTTAGACATAGCTCCCATATGTATCTTCGTCCAATTTACTTTTATTGTGCATCAAACGCGATGGAATTTGCCACATATAACCAATTTTGAGCCTGGAATTGTCAAATTTGGTGGAAATATATAGCTATAGAACCCATATATATTCGGCAATCAATTTTTAAATTTCTTCTCCACAGCCGTAATAAGCACTCCGTAATAAGGATACTCGGCGAAATATATCAGAAAAACTTTTGCCAAATTTTTTCGAGTTCGGTTCAGATTTGGGTATAGCTTGACCAAGGCTTTAATACACGCTCTAGAATATTTTCGCGGTAATATTCGGCATTTATTCTGATGCCACGGTCGATTAATACGAGCGGAGAACGACAATCGGCTGTTATAGCGGCCCACAGCATCACCATGGCCGGCGCTTGAGTTCTGGTGGCCAACCGAAGGTGCACATTTTCAGCTGACCTATTGAACCTATTGAAATTGGAGACGATCGATCAAAATTTAGACATAGCTCCCATATGTATCTTCGTCCAATTTACTTTTATTGTGCATCAAACGCGATGGAATTTGCCACATATAACCAATTTTGAGCCTGGAATTGTCAAATTTGGTGGAAATATATAGCTATAGAACCCATATATATTCGGCAATCAATTTTTAAATTTCTTCTCCACAGCCGTAATAAGCACTCCGTAATAACGATACTCGGCGAAATATATCAGAAAAACTTAGCCAAATTTTTTCGAGTTCGGTTCAGATTTGGGTATAGCTTGACCAAGGCTTTAATACACGCTCTAGAATATTTTCGCGGTAATATTCGGCATTTATTCTGATGCCACGGTCGATTAATACGAGCGGAGAACGACAATCGGCTGTTATAGCGGCCCACAGCATCACCATGGCCGGCGCTTGAGTTCTGGTGGCCAACCGAAGGTGCACATTTTCAGCTGACCTCTTTGGCAAGTAAACACGATCATTTTGTTCGTTTACAAACTGCCCTCGTCGGAGAAAACCAAATTCGGCAGTTCATCACTTTCGGCCAAGCGACTCTTTAGTTCTTTTGAGTCTATTTTCTTTCTGTTGCGGTGTAAGTTTTGCACTTTTTGGAATTTCAATGGCTCTACCCCGAGCTCATTTTTCAATATTTGCCGAATGGAATATTGCGATATGTTCAGCTCACTAGCCGTTTTTCGACCACTGTGACGCGGGTTTCGATCAAATCGCTCCTTACATTTCGAACCATTTCTCCTGATGTTGCTGTTTTCTTCCGTCCACTTCCTTGACGTCGGGCCACGCTACCGGTATCACGGTTACGAGCGATAGTACACGACACAAAGATTTTTTTCACATTTAAACGCTGGAGTTCTCCAACTATATCCACTTTTGGTTATAAATATAAAGAAATTTTTTTTGTGTGGAAAATTCTCACCAAAATGCTTTTGTACGCTTGTAAACAATATAATGAGATGTCTTTGGAATAATTTTAACAGCTGTCGGACGTGAGGCTTAGAGATGACAGCAGTCCGAATTTGGTTGCAATTTTTTTATCTCACCATGTATATCTTCGTCCGATTTGCCTTTTATTGTGCATTAAACGTGTAATATTAGGCACATATAACCAAATTGAGCATACAAGCAAGTGTGTCAAATTTGGTGGGAATCGGTTGAGATATAGCT